CAGTCTACGGTCTTCGCCAAGTGCCTCGCGAGTTGCACGACACATTGAGGACTACACTTGCGGCTCTTGGGTTTGCTCCTTCTATTGCTGACCCGTCGCTCTTTCTACGCACCAACACCTCGCTGCCGCCGTTCTACGTCCTCATCTACGTCGACGACCTGATCTTTGCCAGTGCTGACACCGAGGCACTGACCCTTGTGAAGTCGGAGCTGCAGAAGAGACACACCTGCACTGACCTGGGTGAACTGCGCAGCTATCTTGGCTTGCAGATCACCAGGGACAGAGCACGGCGCACCATCACACTGACTCAGTCACACATGGTGCACCACGTCCTTCAGCGCTTTGGCTTCCAGTTCTTCTCGCCACAGCCCACTCCTCTATCTACCGGCCACTCGCTCTCAGCTCCACCTTCGGACAAGTCCGTAGAGCCGAGTGGTCCATTCCCAGAGCTTGTGGGTTGCCTCATGTACCTGATGACGTGCACACGACCTGACCTCGCGTACCCTCTCAGCCTTCTAGCTCGCTATGTGGCTCCCGGTAGGCACCGAAAGGTGCACTGGGATGCTGCGAAGAGGGTACTGCGTTACTTGTGCAGTAAGTCGGGCATGGGGCTCGTGCTTGGAGGACGGGGTCCAGTTGTCCTCACTGGTCACGCAGACGCTTCTTGGGTTGACGAGTCAGCTACGCAGTGGTCGCCACAGGGTTACACCTTCAGCCTTGGTTCCGGCTTTGTTTCCTGGCGGTCTACCCGCTCGTCTTCGGTTCTCAGCTCCACTTGTGAGGCTGAGATCTACGCAGGGGCCATGGCTGCACAGGAGCTACGCTGGCTCACCTACCTGCTGACTGACTTGGGAGAGCAGCCTCGTTCGCCTCCAGTTCAGTACGTAGACAACAAGGCCATGATTGCCTTGTGTCAGGAGCACACACTGGAGCACAGAACAAAGCACATTGCTCTGCGATACTTCCTTGCTCGAGAGTTGCAGCAGCGTGGCCAGCTTGGTCTTGCGTACGTGGCCATTAGGGCCAACACTGCTGATATATTCACCAAGGCACTTCCGCCTGGTGATCATCAGCGCTTCTCTACTATGTTAGGCCTTGTGCCTACTTTGCCTCACTTGCTCACTACGTGACTTTGCTGTACTGTGATATATATATATATATACTACATACTTGCACGTGCTAGGGTATGATCACTGTATTATTTGTTCTCTTTTGTATAACTTTTGCATGTGAACTGGCCTTGTGGCCCTTTGCTTGTGCTCGGAATCTGTGGTGACTTTGTGATCCACCCTGAGCTTGCTTTGCTTTTCTTGACTGGTCTTGTGACCACTTGTTCTCCCCCACTTTGCCTATGGGGGTGTGTCAGAATGTTATAGAGCTTACATTTGTGTAGGCTATAGTGGGGTAGCCCATAAGGGGTACAACCCAATTAGGGTTAGTACTTGTACCCAACTTCTGCTCAATGCATTAATTTCTCGTTAGTTGATTCTGACAGGCTACCCCACTACAGCCTACACAATATAAGCATTATAACATTTTGAAACTAACATGTACAGTATTGTCGCGAAAATTAGGGCCACAGTGGTTTGGGAAAAGTGGCCTGTCGAGCTACCTGGAACAAGGGTTGGGTTCGGTAGAAAAGACAAGCACGCGCACTGCAGAATTTGAGATTGTCAATGTATAGTGAGCGAACTGCGTAGGGTGTAACACCTGGCTCATTGAGAGCTCGAGTCCCTAACCTGAATGATAACCCTCCCCCTCTAGCCAGGGCCTATTTTGTCTATGTAATTCACACTGCTATACTGATTATAAGGGTGAAATTTAGGGCCTGCACTGATGTGTTTGAGTAATTTTTTTGCAGATTAGTGTTACACTGATATGTCAGTGTAAGGATTAGGCCACACTGATGCTCTGGGGTAATATTTCCCTTAGCAAAGATTACCCTGAAGTGAAGAGCGTTTAGAGAGCTCCCCCCCCCCCCCCCCCCCCCCCATGCCACCTCTTCATGAAATTCGACTTATCGAGACGATTTTTCCTGGAAATTTCATCCCGATACTCCCAATTTCGTAAGGATGCACTACAATGCCAGCACGTGAGCACTGACAACCAGGGTCCTTGCTAGGATTCAAAGTTGCCGCCTGATCCATCAGCTTTTTCGTTTTTTCCAGTCTGGGGTGTCAGTTTTTTTTACCAAGGCCTGTTTGACAAATCAAATTAGAATCTATCATTTCTTGTTAAAACAAGTGGGACCGACAAGTAGATTCATTCTTGTCCTGCCACGCCAAATTCGACTTGTCAGTGCATTTTCAACCTATCAGAGTAGAGATCATGCAGATTCGACCTATTACAGTAGAGAAATATGCAAATTCGATCGATCACGCCAGAGATTCGTTTGTCACAGCAGATTCTATCGCAAATCACCCTGGACTACCATATTTCAGTTTCAGATGGAACACACAACTGCCTACTGTACGATCAGGGTGAAAAAAATGCCTATACTGATGCTTTTGGGTAATTTTTTCAAAACTTCAAGTTACACTGATCCATCAGTGTAACAAAAAAGGATACACTGTTCAAACGGGTTTTGAAAATGGCTACACTGCTAATCATGAGTAGCCAAAATCCAAAGATAGGCCCTGCCCCTAGCCAAGCCTTTTGCGGAAACCATGCGCAGAAAGCGCTAACCGTTCCTTGAAAGCGGAGGTGTCCATGTACGTCTCCCTGCTAAGCTGAAAACCCTGTACAGAAGCTTAGCCCTGGAAACCCGCGAAAGTTGGAGTACATCATCGCGGGGGGTACTCCTGTGGATTGGGGTGGTTGTTCGCCAGATACAATTTCAGCCCTGGCATGGTTGCGGTTTGAACAGTGTGGAAAACAATTTCGCCACAACGAGACCGAATGAGCTTGGTGAGGGGGTTGTATACCCTGTTTTTCGCTACACTGAACCGCGTAAGAATGCTACTGTTCCTTGGCAGTAATCGGAATTTTGCTGTTACCGAAACCAGTCAACCATCCCTTGCAGGCGGGTGTTGTGAGGGTAGGTTCTCAGAATGCATGTTCCCTAGATACGTGATCCAGCCATTCCAAAATGTCCAGGGAACTTTCGAAAACGTAACCCATCACACTGGATCGCGCTGGTTAAAAACTCACTATAACGCAGGTGATAGCGCGCTTCTGAACGGGGTGAGTTTCTAGTAACGGGGAATTCAGAATACCAAAATCCACTATGGCGAGAAACAGGGTGTACACGGCTGAAACAGAATCGGTCCATCTAGAAGTATTCACTACAATGACACGTGTTGGGTTGTTGAAGATTGGTTCTTTCCAATTGGTCTCAGTAGATTGGTGATGGGTTGTTGGTCAACCCATTGACTAAGACCGACCCGATCTCTCGCAAACCACTGAAGCGCATGACATCAACCTCTAGCAACGACCTCTCCGCCACCTAACCCCGACTATGTCGCCACCTAGGCTAACACCTAGGTTTCTACCTACTGCGGATTATCGCAACCCCAGCTCACTTGCCCATTCCACCGTTCGACTGTCAAACCATCGCCGATCAGGCTGGTTCCCGTCACTCGACATCGTTTCAGTGCCAGGTAAGTTGGTCCTCCTCTTCGGTCTGCTTCCGCTGCTCACCTCGATCTCCTTTGCTAACCTTACGCCAACATGCAGGTCTCAGGTCGTAGCAACTCCAAGGCCAAACCCACCCTATTGTAATACCCTACGCCTTAACCCGAATAGTTTCACCTTTTGCTCTTCACGCTCTCGCTCTTGCCCACATGCTCTCAGTTTTTCTCTCACGCTCTCGCTGTAACGCCTACTCTGCCGAACTACCGCAGATTTCCTAAGTCAACATCGAGAGAGTGCTTGATGAGAAATGACGTAAAGGCAATCGGGAAGGTTGAGTTGGAGAGGAAGATTGGCTTGGGATTTCCAACCCTCAACCTTGAGGCTTGGAAACTTCCAACCCATCAAAGTGAAGATTGGAAAGGTTGGATTTCCAACCCATCACATTGTGCCAAATGTTGTTACAATCCATACAAAGAACCTAGCAACCATACAACACAATTAAGTTGGGTTTTCCCAACCAAACAAACATGCCACATAGGCTCCAAGCCTAGAAGCTCCCCAACCATGGAAGCCATGGTTGGGAAGAGCCCCAAGGGGTATTGTGGAAGGGGTTGAAGCCTGGAGGCTCATTCCCACTTCCCAACTCCAACTTACCAATTTGGAAATGGGATTTCTCTTAGTCATTTTGGTTCTCCTAACAAGCTCTCCTACACAACTAGAATTGTGTTTACTTTAAGGACAAGCTCTACAAGAAGCTACCTACCTACTTGCTAAAGCTTCATCAACCTTCTTCAAGCTCTATTTCTCCTCTCAAGCTTCAAGAGTATTATCAAGGCTAGTTTATCCCTTGGTGGGATTAGTTTAATATTGATAGCCTTGTATCTTGATTTTATATACATTGTCGAGGATTTATATCTAACACACGGTTGCCCGTTGTTATAAGGGCCGTGGTTGTTACATTGGTATCCAGAGCTAGGGTTATCCTAATCCTAGTGGGGATTTTGCCCCTAGAGATTTTTTTTATAGATCCTGGAGTTGTGGTTTCTCTTTAAGAGAACACTCAAGATCAAGAAGCTTGAAGAGTTCAAGATCTACAATATCTACAACTGCAACTTCAAGCTAAGAAGAGAGATTTATCTCTCTTGCCCACCTTTTGGTGGAAGACTCTTTACTGTTGAGTAGTGGAGTATAAACTTCGATTTGGAGGATTTTTTTAGGGTTATTCAAGTTCTCTTTATTGAGATTTGGATAGACCCTGCCCTTTCACTTAGGTGATTGGGAGTGTTGGCAACAAATCAGTTACCTTTGGTAACCTTGAGTTATTCTGTAGAAGAAAATTATTTTATACGAATTTCTTGCTTTACCATTGAGGTGGTAAAAGGATTTTCACATAATCAACCCAGATCTCTAAAGCTCCCTTAATCCTTATGGCATCTGGCCAAGAGAATGACATGGCAAGGGAGGAAGGGCCCACTGCACCTAATGAGGTGGTGAACAATGCTGCTGAGATTGACCTCAATCAAGATGAGGCAATGGCTGACATTGAGCTGGATGACATTGAGAACCTGGACCTGGAGGATGAGGATAATTATGTTGAACCTGATACTTATGTTGAAGCTAATAACCGTGATGAAGCTGATAACCATGGTGAAGCTGATAACAATGGGGAGGAGGACAACACCGGTGAAAAGGAGAACACTGGTGATGAAAATGACTTCACTGAGGGTGAAGGCATGAGTTATCCTACCTCAGAGGAGATTTTCCAACTCCAGGCTAAAGTGTCAACTCAAAATATCACCATCCTGCAGCAGGAGAAGTCCATTGATGGACTCACAAAGCTGAATAACAAGCTTAAGGGTGAGTTGGGCGTTGTCACGAGAGAGGCCTGCCAATTCTGTCGCAGCATGGGCACTAGAAATCGCCAAATTGAGGAGCTTCAGGATAATTGCAACAATATGCAAGCGTCACTCACCAAGCTCCATGAGCAGTTGAGGGATCTTAGGAGGGAGGACATTTACCAGCCTCCTTCTGGGCGTAGGCCTGCTCCTGCTGCTCAGCCGGCACCCGCTCCGTGTGCACCTCCACTGGTAGGCGCTGCAACGGTTGTGCATCAGCCACCTCCAACCGAGACCTCGCCCTTTGGATCTCTCTCGGTGCCTCTGCCTGAGTTTAACCATAGCAAGACGGAGGTGCAGCCTTGGCTTGACCTGGTGAATGACACCATGACCCTTGCGAATGTGCATCCTGAGGCTCACGTTACTGCACCCACTCGTGCATTGGACGAGGTGGCCCGCAGGGCAGTGTATGGCGCTAAGAAGCAGGCGTAGGGACCATTTGAATGGCCGGAGTTCTGCACCGCGTTGAAAGAGGCATTCATGGTCAAGAAGTCCGACCTGGAACTGCGCGGACGCCTTGAGAGTATCAAGTGTCGTGACCGTTCGGTGCAAAAATATGCGGTCGAGTTTGAGGCCGCATCACGCTTGCTCCAGAAGCCCTTGTCTGAGGAGGAGATGATGCACGTCTTCATGAAAGGCCTCCCTGTCAAGCTGCAGCAGGCACACATGACCAGTGGCATGACCAATTGGACGACTTACAAGGAGATGAAGGAGCAGGTAATCAAAACTGACAACATAATCCGCATGTATATTTTTTATCCTGCAAAGCCAGACCAACAGCCCCGTGCTGAGGGCTCTGGTGGTCGTGGGAACCGACCCCCAGAATGCCAACGGCGGAGGCGGTTGGAACAAGCGGCCTTTCCAGCAGCGTGATCACCAGCCTGGGCCACAGGCCAAGAGGCCTAACGGAGGCGGAGGTCATGGCCCTAATAAGCCGGACTTCTCCGACAAGCAGTGCAGAGTCTGTAGAAGGATGGGGCACATTGAAAGGCAATGCCGTGACAAGAACGCAATCAAGTATTCTGGGAAGCCTAAGCTAGGCGGCGCTGGACCTTCTGGAAAGAAGGATTTTCAGAAGCCCAACTAGGGTGTGGGTACCTAGTTGGAGGAGTAGATCGAGTGGATGAGGCATATGTGCTATGTGATGATGATATATTAAAGCTAGAGAAGCTTGCTGATTGCAAAGTCTCTTGTTTGTTTGCCTCTTCATTTAATAAAACCTCTGTTTTTTATCCTCGATCGTACCCACTTGAGAAAATTTCCATGGAAGCAATGCAGGATAAGTTTTCAATTATTTTTTGTGGCTTGGACATTCTGCCTTCTGTCCTTGAAATTGTGAGTTGTTGCACTCAAGACCACCCCCTGACTTTGGTCGCGTTGGTGACTCGCACAGTGAAAGGCGAATTTTTCCATGTGCTTTGTGGATGGCCGGTCCTGGCGGCGTGGGACAAGGGATACCAGGTGTGGTGGACCAACTCCCAGTCACATGGGCGTGCTCGTCACAACGTCAAGGTGTATTTCAAACCTTCGACAAATATTGTGGCATATCCTATTCGCCCAAAGCATCAACAAAATATGTTGCTTGCGGGAAGCGTGAACGGGGAAAATGCAAAAATCCTTGTTGACACGGGTGCAACTGTTTCCCTCTTTGACGAAAAGTAGGTCACAGCACGCATGATCCTCGTTGAAGGACCATCTTGCCCCATTCGCCTTGGTGATGATAGCATCATCCCGAGCAAAGGGTGGACACGGATCAACATAGAGATCGAGGGATATCGCGAAGAAATATGCGCATATGTGTTACCCCTTCTCACAGGCGTCGACCTTGTTCTTGGAATGGATTAGCTTCGAGCGAATGAGTTCAAGCTCGATTTCCAGGACAATAAGGTCTCATTCTCAAAGAATGGTGACACTGTCCAGTGGCAAGTGCCTAAGGACTTGATCACGAACGAGCAACACACGTCGGAACGTCCCGATGTGAGTTTCGTGCTTGCAAACGAGTTCGGACAGCATGTTCGACAAGCCGATACATTCTTTGTGGTACAGCTTGAGAATGCTGAACGCAAAATTCCTCGGGTCGAGGATTTCTCGCCTCAGATGAAAGCACTGGCGGACGAGTTTGCAGAGGTTTTTGAGCTCATCCCAGATGGCCTTCCTCCGGACCGTGCTGTCGATCACACCATCCCAGTGGAGCCAGGAAAACTCCCACCTTTTAGACCTCAGTATCGCCTCAGTCCAGCTGAGTACGTGGAGGCTAAAGAACAGATTGAGGAATATCTTAGGAAGGGATGGATTGAACCAAGTGTGAGAATAATGAGAGGAATGAATGAACTAAGAAACAGGTGGGGTACAAGTAGAAAACACAAAAGTGTTGTACCCTCTAAGGACTACCCCACTACAGCCTAAACAGACTATAGCATATATAAGTTTGACACACCCCCATAGGCAAAGTGGGGGAGAACAACGGGTCATAAGACCAGTCAAGAAGGCAAAGCAAGCTCAGGGTGGATCACAAAGTCACCACACAGTCTGAGCACAAGCAAAGGGCCACAAGGCCAGTTCACATGCAGAGTTATATAAAGGAAAGCAAACAATACAGTGAACACAACCTAGCAAGCGTAAGCATGCAGGTATAAGTATATAGAGTACAGTACAAGCAGAGTCAAGACGTCAGCAAGTGAGGTACAGTAGGTACAAGACCTAACACAGTACAGAAACGCTGATGATCACAAGGCTGAAGTGCCTTGGTGAAAACATCAGCAGTGTTGGCCTGAGAGGCCACGTAAGCAAGACGAAGCTGGCCACACTGCTGCAACTCTCGAGCAAGGAAGTAGCGCTGAGCAATGTGCTTCGTTCTGTGCTCCAATCTGTGCTCCTGACACAAGGCCAGCATGGCCTTGTTGTCGACGTACAGAACTGGAGGAGAACGAGGCGCCTCTCCCAAGTCGGTCAGCAGGTAGGTGAGCCAGCGTAGCTCCTGAGCAGCCATGGCCCCAGCGTAGATCTCAGCCTCACAACTCGAGCTGAGAACAGAAGAAGAACGGGTAGACCGCCAAGAGACAGAACCGGAGCCAAGACTGAAGGTGTAACCCTGTGACGACCGCTGCGTAGCCAAGTTGTCAACCTAGGAGGCGTCAGCGTGACCAGTGAGGACAACTCGAGCCCGTCCTCCAAGCACGAGCCCCATGCTCGATGTACTGCACAAGTATCGCAACACCCTCTTCGCAACATCCCAGTGCACATTTCGGTGCCTGCCGGGAGCCACGTAGCGAGCCAGAAGGCTGAGAGGGTATGCGAGGTCAGGTCGTGTGCAAGTCATCAGGTACATGAGGCAGCCCACAAGCTCTGGATACGGGCCACTCGACTCTACGGACTCGTCCGAAGGTGGAGCTGAGAGCGAGTGACCTGTAGGCAGAGGAGTGGACTGTGGCGAGGAGTACGTGAAGCCGAAGCGCTGAAGGACCTGCTGCACCATGTGTGACTGAGTCAAGGTAATGGTGCGCTGTGCTCTGTGCCGGGTGATCCGCAAGCCAAGATAGCTTGTCAGCTCACCCGGGTCTGTGCACGTGTGTCTCTTCTTCAGCTCGGACTTCACGTGGGCGAGTGCCTCAGTGTTAGCAGTAGCAAAGACGAGGTCGTCTACGTACACGAGAACGTAGAACGGCTGCAGAGTAGTGTCAGTGCGTAAGAACAGAGAAGGGTCAGAAGTGGAAGGAGCAAAACCAAGAGCAGCAAGAGTCGTCCTGAGTGTGTCGTGCCACTCACGAGGTGCCAGGCGGAGACCGTAGACTGGCCGGCAGAGGCTCTACTGGGTACCAGCTGGAAACGACCCAGTAAAGCCAGGTGGGCGGCGCAGCCAGATCTCCTCGTGCAGGCTGCCCTTTAGGAAGGCTGTGCTGAAGTCAAGCGAGTGGAGCTCGTAGTCACGCTGAGCAGCTACGTGCAGCAGTACCTGAAGAGTGGTCATCTTCGGGGTAGGGGAGAAGGTCTGAAAGAAGTCAACTCCCTGTCGCTGACTGAAGCCACGTGCAACGTAACGCGCCTTGAAGACAGGCGGAGAACCCGGCGGCCGCTTCACCCTGAAGATCCACATGCCACTGACGATGTTCGCCCCAGGCGGGGGAACCTCGTCGACGTAGGTGCCTGTGGACTTCCAGGAAGCCATCTCGGCGTCCATGGCTGCCTGCCACTGAGAGGAGTAGGGACTCTCTATCGCCTCTGCGTAAGAGCGCGGGGTCGGGATGTCTGGTGCATCCGGGTCTCCCTCAGGGGCAAGCAGCATGGACACGAGATGAGGTACAGAAGCAGCAAAGCACTCAAACTCCTCCTGTCTGTCCTCAAGAACGTCCGTGCCAAGAGCACACTCACCCCCGACGAACGGAGGACAGACAGACACAGACGCAGACTCAGTAACAAGACCAGCGGCGTAGTCTAGGCAACAGGCTGCAGCAAAGTCAACAAGCTCAGTAACAAGAGCCGACGCAGCAGTGGACTCAAACAAAGGGTCAGTGACAGCAATGGCCAGAAAACACGTGACAGCAGGACTAGCAGCACGGAGGGAGTCAGACGCAGGGTCCGGACCGGCAGGAAGAGAGGACGTAGGAGGAGACGGCAGAGGGACACGCTGTGGAGCAGTGGAAGGACGCAGAGTCATAGAGTGAGTGCCAGGGACAGGAGGAGGATGCGGACGCGAAACACGACCAGCGCGAACAGTGCGGACAGGCGACGCAGAACGAGACTCAGGCGACACAGGACGAGACTCAGACTCACGACGCTCGGTAAGACCTCTAGTCGGTCCAGACTAAGGAGAAGGACCAGGCAGTGGAGAGGCTGGCTGGAACCGCGACTGGGACTAGACAGGCGGTGGACTCAGTAAAGGAGGAGGAGGACCAGGAAAAGGCGGGGAGCCAAGAACCTGCTGAAGAAGCGGAACGTAGTACGGCCGCGGCCGCACAGCGCCTCCAGAAACAGCAGAGACAGAACCGGTACCCTCAGCCCCAGGGTCTCCAGTCCCAGCAACACCTCCAGCAGCACTTGTACCAGCAGCACCTCCAGCAGCTCCAGCACCAGCAGCACCTCCAGAAGATACAGCAGCACCTCCAGCACCAGCAGCACCTCCAGCAGCACCAACAGCACCTCCAGCAGCACCAGCACCAGCAGCACCTCCAGAAGCTTCAGCAGCACCTCCAGCACCAGCAGCACCTCCAGCAGCACCAGCACCAGCAGCACCTCTAGAAGCTCCGGCAGCACCCCCAGCACCAGCAGCACCTCCAGCAGCACCAGCACCAGCAGCACCTCCAGAAGCCCAAGCAGTACCTCCAGTAGCTCCAGCAGAACCCCGACAGCGCCGAGAGTACCACTCACAAAGTTGCTGTGGAGAGAGAGGCTCCCGCCGCGGCGGGACACCTAGAGCACCTCCAAACGCAGCACGC